ACAAACAAAAAAACAAACAGGTAATGAGTAATTGAATGTATGCGGATAAAATATTATTGGCCACGTGAGACGTGAGTTATAGCGTTGTTATAGAGCGACTGTTGAAATTAAGTGTATCGTAAAGTTGTATTCGGAAAGAATAAACCAGTTTTATTTAAGAAAGGACTTGTGTCGCTAAAATTTCGTCGGAACGAATTTACGGAAAATTAACTAACGAACAGAGACGTAACAGTTGTATTCAGAAAGAATAAACCAGTTTTACTTAAGAAAGGACTTGTGTCGCTAAAGTTTCGTCGGAACGAATTTACGGAAAATTAACTAACGAACAGAGACGTAACAGTTGTATTCAGAAAGAATAAACCAGTTTTACTTAAGAAAGGACTTGTGTCGCTGAATTTCTTTGGAAAGAATTTTTACGGTAAAATTATCTAACGACCAGAGACGTAACAATATTACAAAATCAACAATATCTGAAAATGACACCTTCAAAGATGAAAAAATAAGGTTTTGATCATTTTATTTCATAATTTTCAAAATATTATTTAACTGTGTTGGTTGTTGTTAAGCAAAAAAACTACACAATGCTCTATCCACTACGGGTATCTAAACCCAATTTTTAGCGTTATAAGGCTGCAGACTTACCGCTGAGCCACTGGGGGTTTATTTAACTGTACATTGATGATTTAGCTACAGTTAGTGTTATGGTAAAGAAAATAACATATGAAACCTAAATTTTATTGAAAACTTTTGGATTCATGTATGACATTTGAGAGGTTATGTAAATAAAATATGAAAAATGTAAGGTAAAAAAATGTGTTTTTATTCTTAGCATGGAAATATCACTTTTCACTCACATAAACCAGAGTACGGATCAGACTGACCCCATAAATTCACAGATAAATTTCTAATAAAAAACCTTTATGAAACAATCTGATTTTTGTGTTCAACAAACTTGAAATGATTACAAAAAGCCTGCAAAATAAAGTTTAATGTTTATATGGTGTTTGAGAGATCAGTCAAATTACACAACCCATAATACAGTGAGATAGGCAATTCTAGAACAAAAACAGTATTTAGTATACCTGTATAAAGGCATGTAACGAAAACATATGATTCATTGTTCATCTTGCGACATAACTAAATGTCTCTATATCTCTCTTCAATCTGCTGTATCTCTTCGCTTTATTTGCCGGACCTATATACTAAAAAAGAGGGCGCCTGAAACAGACTAGAGTTGCCAGGAAAAGTCATGATCCTTCTAGAAACTCCAGCGTGCAAGCTTCCAGAGTCGCGTGACTTCCGCTGTCGTAACAACATAATTTATCGTTCTTGGGTTATCATAGATTAGTATGCTTTAGTGAATTATATTAGATTATACTTGATTTTTTAAAAGTCAAGTTAATTAAATGCATTTTTAAATATTGTGATATTTTTTGTTTTAGAAATCCAAAGTTTTTATGTGCTTTGGTGCAATTTGCATTATCTTAACAAAAACATTTAATTTATTCATATGAAAAGAGAAAAAACAATGGGATATTTGTTCCACTCAAAGGTCCCCAAAACCAGTCGAGATGGAAAATATCCGAACAGCCAGAAGTAAAAATATTGTTACATACTGTAAAAACAACGTTTGTTCAACCTAAAGGCAATTCCAAATGCTTGTCAGCCAAATGTTTCCCATTTTGTGAAGATGGCTGAAGATAACAAAGGAAAACTTTTTACTGCTACAACTGGGGGAGTTTGGTTTACCAGACCGATTAGCAAAGCAGCAAACTACATAAAAAATCTGCAAAAGACCAAGCCTCTGTACTGCATCAATATGCTGAAATGAAAGCCTTATAAACCTGTTAGTGTCAAAGTCTGTTAAAGCTGTTAAGAATATTGAAGACACAACACGGTTTATGTGACGTGTTTGTTTTTAGTTAAGCATAAAGCTGCACAATGGACTATCTGTGCTGTGCCCATTATGGATATCGAAACCTGTTTTTAGCATTAGAAATCCACAGACTTACCACTGTGTCATTAGCAGGGGCATCATACTTTCTATTTAAGCAAGAGATACCACCATATACTACAAATTGGAGGTCATTGTTAAGTGCACTGTTACTAGTTAACCCTAAAGTTAGACTCTGGTTTCGAACAAGCTTGGCAAACACATTATTTTTCAACAAGAAGCTCAATTGGCTGATTAGAAGCATGCAGTGCAACAGTGAAAGACTTGGCATTTGAAAAAGTGAAGAACCCTGTCACCATATTCAAGAAATATGCATACATGGTTGATGAATGCACTGATGCAAATGGATCTCAAGTATTAAATCATCGTGTATGCTATCTTGATGTTAGTGGTAAGCCAGTATATGTGTTTCTAGATGTTCAAGTTATAGAAGATACACCAGCTGGAGAATTAAATCCTTGTAAATTGGATCCCAAACCTGTGGCTACTTCTGCATTTGATGGAGCCACAAACTTCTCTGGAAGACATGGTAGAATACTAGCTGGTTCAGAAAAATGTGTAATCTTACAATAATCTCAATTACACCCACTACAGAAGTCATCTACACTAAGTAGTACTAGTACGAGCTGCATAACCTTCAAAAGGCATTTAAAAAACCCACAGATTTAATGCCCTCGTTATACTCTCTTTTTTTTTCCTAAGAATCTAAGACGACATAACGTCTTAGAAAAAAGATGCTACAGCTGCTTTCTCATGAGTGATCATGGGCTGTTGTCTTAAATTTACTGCAACCATTATTACTGGTTTTGGAAAATATCTACTATGATTGGACGAATTTAAGTAGTGGGGCTGGTGTACTACTTTTGTTTCTATGTTCAGAGAATAAAGTTGTCGCTCTCTCTCTTGTAAGTCTACTGCTGCAAACACTTGGATCATTAAACCATGTCATTCAGTACAACAGGTAGATCTTTGTCCAGTAACAGAACCTACAGTTAGATACATCAGAGAGATATATACATTGAAAACGTACGGTAAGAAGCAAAGATTTCAGTCCAGAAGTTGTCTAATGAATAGACTTATATTGAATCCTTAGGGGAAGGAGACAAGTGATTGTTAAACCAGCTGAAAAAGTACACAAACTTGATTCTTACCAATCTACTGCAACAACTTTTAGATTCTACTTGACCTGTACGTAGCTCATACAGATGCCTGTATTATAAGACACTAACAATTGTATGGAGTAAAGCATTACTAGCAATGGGACTGCCATGTAATCAGGACAGAATAGGGAATTTAAACACAGAGTGGAATGTCATACGAAAAAGGAATGAAGATTTGGTTTCAACTTCTTTTTAATCATCACCAGGTGCTCGACCTGATCTTTATTCTATGTTTCCTGGAATGAAAGAAGTAGGAAATCGACAGTTTTTACCTTAAAATATCACAAAGGTTCAGAGGATGGCTACTATGGTGATTCTAGGTATGTAAATGCTATCTTATACGGTGGTGCAACTAGACTTCATGGTTCCTGTGGAACAAAATTACATCGGCGCCCTTAACCACTGTTCTCAGCTATTGTGAAACCCATAGGAGGCTGAAGGGGTATTTGGGAACCACGAACTTGACCCAACCAGTAAGATAGAGATTATACATGGTTGGACCCGTTATCTTAATAGCATAGGTTAAGATCTTTAAACTTATTTTTTCTTGAGAAAAGAAGGGTAAAAGATTATTTTATATAAATTTACAAGATTATCCAAGGGATTGATAGGATAAAAACCTCGGATACCTTTGCGCTGTATTCTTAAGATAATAGGAAGAGGTAACATAATTTTAATATTTCGTGATGAAAAACGACATAGGCTTCAGTCAAGACGGTTTTATTTTTATAACAGAGTGATTGGTCTACAGAATTAGATATTATTGGTAGTAATGGAGACCAAAATTTTACGAAAGCTTTAGAAAAAAAAATCGATTTTTTAAAACGTAATTTTTACTTTTATAAAGGGTGATTGTGCAAGGACAGCCTTAAAGGACCAATGATCCCTTATTATTTATATGTTATTGTTACGACAGCGGAAGTCACGTGACGCTAGTAACACGTCGTATTCTCGAAGGTTCGTGAAGCCTCGAGTGTTTACTAGATTTTAGGTATTCTTGTATATAAGACTGCCAAAAACTGACGGCAACAATGTAATTGAATTGCAGACAGAGATAAAGACAACAATTGAGTCAAGCGCGTAAATCGTTCGTTCATTGTGGATTATAGCGTTTGTTTAATTTATAGCGTGACTGTGGAAATTAAGTGTATTGCAAAGTTGTATTTAGAAAGAATAAACTAGTTTTATTTAAGAAAAGACTTGTATCGCTAAAGTTTCTTCGGAAAGAATTTTGCGGAAAATTAACAAACGAACAGAGACGTAACATTATATTACATGTATAAACAAATTTTAGCTATGCATACCTAAACTCAGTCTGTTCAGACTCCAAATTTATAATTGTTTTAATTTGTATGTATATGTAAGAGAGTGTATACATATATATAGATATATATATTAAAATGTACAATTTCACATGTTTTACATTATTGCCAGTGTTATCAAGAAGAACTGTAGTTCCAAAGGCCAAATTGTATAAAAAGTTAGTCAAGAACTATTAGTGATTCTCTATACATCTCGGATAGTTTTGCTGTTTCTGGAGCATCGGTGCAACTGAACTACATAAGTCAGAATCATCGTTCTAATTTTAATAGACAGTTTCAAGCAATCTTTGTCAAATTTGGAAGAAAATTCAGTATCTCTTATACAGTTAGTGAGTAAGTGAAATACATCGGCAAAGGAAGACAAAAAGTATTTCTTTTTCTGTCGTATTTTTCAACAAATGCGGCGACTTTCGAAACACTATTTCTACATTACACAATTAATTTATTTCTAACCAACAAAATATGCCAGGGAATGCATCTTGAGTGATTTTATATCATTTATATTAAACTATTTTACATATTTTAAAAAAGAGCATTCTTCGTTCGCAAAAAAATTAAAATAGAAAAAATATATAAAACAGTGTATCCCAGAACTTAGCGTAGAATCGCATCTGCAACGCTCTGGAATACATGCAGAGACACAGTCCGGCGGCCATATTGACCTAGTTTGTTTTGACGAGTAAACAAACCAGCACGTGGCTTTTGACACGGTATGGTGAAAGTTCTTAAAATGTTAAATACCAATCTGTATGTCTTCAAATCACTTTGTTATGTTTAATTATTCGAAAAGTTTTATAACTTTAAGTTATCTTTATGAAATCATTATGATAACGAAACATTGAAGCCAATAATTACCAGTTACACTATATAGAATTATATATTATCACCCAGTAATTATAGGCCTATTACTATTACTAGTAGTAGTCTTACATCAGGTGTGGGAAGTTTTGGAAAGTCTGATAAAAGATGCTTTCCAAAGTCATTTAACAAAGTTTAGATTTTATTTGATAGTGAACATGGTTTCACTAAGGGCAAATTTTGCCTTACAAATCTTTTCACATTCTCTGTAAAGGTTACTGCTTATGTAGATGAAGGTAAGGGTGTAGATATAGTGTATCTGCATTTTCAGAAAGCATTTGACAAAGTACCACATAAAAGGCTTGTGAAAAAAAAATTCTGTAGTGTTGGAGAAAAGTTAGCTAATTGGATAGAAGAGTGGCTAAATGGAAAAAAAGCAGAGGGTTGTTATAAATGGAGTTCAGTTACACTGGATTCATGTCGCAAGTGGGATACTTCAGGGCTCAGTCTTAGGACCTTTGCACTTTTTGATTTATATCAGTGACATAGATGAAGGG